GCAACAAACAAGACACATACATCTGAGGCTCCCAGTCATTCAGTGGGAAGGTCTCAGGAGACTCAGATGTTTTCTCTGCAGCAAGGAATCTCTCCACTTGTCTATTTCAAATTTCTGGAAATAAAGACACAGTGTGAAAACTGTGAAAAAAGGGATCACCTCTGCAGTTTGGGCCCATCATTTAACTGGAAATTGGAGTGACAAAACAATCTGAGGAGAGATTAGTCTCTTCTAAGCAAGTGATTAAAGCAGGACAGCCAGAGGTACAGGGGAGCCATGTGTTTGGACATTTGTCTTAACACTCAGAGGTTTTTTTCTACAGGAAAGAACTGTTACTTTCTTTGTTTTCCCATTGAAACCAGCCTCAGTGTCTGTATATAGTAGTGAAGGAGCGTGTGTATAAGAGACGGATGCAGAAATCTCTTGGCTCACCTCCTTCCTCTTCATCCACTTCCCTCTGGCAGTGGGTGTACTGAGGGACTATAGTTGTCACCACATTATAGAGGTAGAATATTTCAACAATACTCTAAGATGGAAAAAAAAAAAACAGGAAGAACCAGTTTTATGAGAATACAAGTGGACAGTACTGCGGGGGGATTTTAAGCTAAGGACAAGATGTGTGTCATAACCACTTCTCGTCATTTGACATCAAACAAAGAATGATGGGCCCAGTTAAAAATAAGGATAGTAATAATGGGTATTTCTCTACTCATTTTGTTCCTCTGTTATTCCCATAAAATTAGAATAACATATTATCCTAATGGAGTCTTGCACCATCGTAACCCAAACAGATTTTAACTGGTTGCTTTCTTATTACTATCCACATTTTAGGACACTAAAGATTAGAGTTGTACAAAAACATTCCCTGTTTTTACCCTCTGTTTTGTCCTCCTTCCTTTATAACCACAGCCTTGATTGCACATAGAAACCTCACTTGATTTGAAAATGATCAGAGAATTATTTTTATTTCCTCCAGTGCATCTTTTTCCAAACTATAACATCTGTTCATGGGCAATTTCATATTTTATGTGTGGCTTAGACTCTTTTTTTTTAAATAATATGTAACTCATCAAATCTCTGGTAGTTTTTACGCATGACATGTGGAGACGAGTCATTAAATCAACTTCCTGGTTTGTATTACTTCTAATCAGTATTATTCATGTGTCTTAAGCAAAGATGTGCTTTATTGCTTCTGATTGTATTTTGGCTCAAAATTTTTGGTTTCTTTAGTTTCTTCATGTTTAAACAGAGTGATTGTTTAGCAAAAACACAGAGACGTTTTGCCTCAATGCAAATCTAGTCTCATTTTACTCAAATCTGCAAATATATTGTATAGGGAATTGGTGGCATCTCTATCAGTTTTGCAACTACTTTCCCCTTGCTGTGTATTGTGCTGCTGGAGTAGATACATGTAGCAGATTGCATCAAATGCATCTCAACAGAAATATAAGCATCAGCTGGGATAATTTGTATCAAACACAACAGATGCAATGAAGTGATCAGAGTGAAGACAAACAATTATTTTTACATAATTTTAAGTAAGAAAAAAAGTCTTGGTCTCAACCTATAAGTATTCCCTAAAGTTTTACGACATCATCTCAAAGGAGTCATCAAAAACTGGAATTTGAAAATGCGATAGCGATGTTGATGATGGATTCCTTCATGTCTTCAACTGATTTATATAGACATAAAAATAATTTATTGAAGTTAAAATGTAAGATTGTAATTTTGTTCTGTAATATTTACAAATGCACTGTACAACCCTATATTTACATAATAGAAAAAGAAGCAGTCGCTCACTATCACATGCCGTTGTCACTGGGATGAGGCTCACCAAAGAAGAACGAGATACAGATCATATTTGCAGAAACATTAAGATCTGTTCCTTAATCTATGAATGTGAGCATCTGTTGGAATGTTACAAAATCATTGGTTTGAATTCTGTATTTTGAAAGCTCAACATTATGATTTTGAACATATATATATATATATATATATATATATATATATATATATATATATATATATAATTTTTTTTTTGCTAAATTTGCAGACATAGAATTTTTCTGTCATATTTCTGACACATATTTTCCCAAAATCAGCAGTTTTTTTTTAATTTTTATCCCATTTCCTTTCCTCTGCCTAAAATTTACCATCAGCTTTCTAGAGGTGGGTGTTTTTCCCACACCATCAGCATAATGCACACAGCTTCGGTCTTTAAGAATGCCAAGCATTTTGCTGTTGACAATTTCAAACTGAAGTTAAATGTAACTAAATATCCTCTGATTTCACATTTTTATCCCCTTTTCTGCACATTTAAAATATTTTTTTAATTTCTTAACATAAATTACGATATGTAATTTATGAACTTTTGCACCGATGACCATGCTTAGTAAATGTGCCATTTAGATTCATTAATTGTTGCAGTGATACATTGTGCACAATGTATCATTGCAGAGGCACTCTTGTAGTTTGATAAAGCTCTTCTAGGAGCAGATCTGTTTCTGATGTTAAAGTGTGTTGCCCATTTTGTCGATTTAAACTCATTTCTTGATTTAATTTCCCATGGTAAACTTCTATGTGTAAACCACATTCTTCACCATGGACATTTTGACTGTGTCAATGATTTTGAGTCTGACAGCTTTCTCGCGCTCTCTGAACCGCCATCCATGGCGGTATGCAGGTTCGAGGCAGCCAGCATTGAAATCAAATATGAGGATATCCGTTGGCGGTAAAATGAAAAATAAACTTAGATTCAAGACCAACAATCGAAAAAAAATAACACACAAGACTCAAAATAATCCCGTATGTGGTCAAAAAATACAGACGATATGTCCCGGAAGCTTCCAAACAGAATCTCACAGACATATTGGACTCGTTGAGGTTGATTCTGTTTGTCCTTAGTATCCAAATTGTTTGGAGGCATTAAAAAGCTACGTTTATTTGCTGTTGACATTTCCAAGTAATTTTTGGGGGTTTGGGGGCTGGTTTGAAACTTTTTCATTTCCTGTCATGTTGTAAGAGAACAAGATCTCTTTCACTATATTCCTTAAACAGAATCTGTGTATCTGTGTGTGTATGAAAGATTCTCAACTTGTGGTTAAGTCAATAGGAGGTGGGTGTTTGCAGTGGCACAAAGCCCAGATGGCCTGGAGACAGAAAAGACTGCATGCATGAGCAAAAATATTAAGACTCCCTTGTCAATGTAACATGTGATATTGAACCAGAAACTGATGATGCAGTAAAGTTGTTCTATTGTTAAAACCTCAGAGAAACACTATAATTTTGACAGTGCACTTCAGAAAAACTTCCAAGTTTTTTTTGTTTTGTTTTTTTGCTTTATTATTGTTTTTTTATTGTAATTGGAAACAGATCAGCATTCCAGGATTGTTCTTTCACTCTATTACACACACAGATACATGAAAAGTTCTAAATATTATGACAATAGACTTATTTTTTTAGGCTGCTGGGACTCGCTGGAACAGGTGCAGATTTGATAAACAATTTCAAACTTCATGGACCAAAAGCAAACTTGTCAAAGTACTTAATTCTATTCAAACATGGCGAGTTAAGGGGAAAGAAACTGCAGTAAGAGTGTTTTCTTTAGCACATTTCCTTTGCTTTCCATGGTTGGGTCGATATCACCATATTCAACATTTCACAGCAAAAGCTTCAAACAGAAGCTGCCAGTTTTGGAGCAGGTCAGAAACCGTGAATGCTTTGCTGAAATAAATAGTTTATAAAATTGTACAGTGAAAAAAGTCAATATGTGTGTGTGTGATATATGTGTGCTGCACTGTGTGCATGTGTGTGTGTCTGAATAGTGCTGTGGGTCATTATGATAATTTAAGGCTGTGGCAAAGTTATTATTTTTCTGCTGAATGGTCGGATTTAGACACACAGAAAGACCAGAGTGAGATGTAATACCAAAGCATTTTGTTTCATTCGTATTCGAGTATGAAAAGGAATGCATATTGGAGTTAAAATGTAATAACCCAGCATTTTTCTTTGGACTTGCTTACATTAGCTGGAATTTGTCTCCAAATCGTTTTGGTCTCCAAACAGAGACCCAAAGACCTTTCCCATCTCACTTTGGATGCAGCAGATTATACATTTCTGACTGTTTTGTAAACAAGTATAAACACCCAAATAATTAAAAACTAGCCACCGCAGCTGCCGTTCTGTCATACAAAAACTCAACAAATGATACAACTAAATATGGTGACAATAATTACAAGACATTTTACAAGTTCTGTACACTCTCTGGGCGCATTACTTGTTGCTGTAACTTTTGTGGAATTAATTTGTTTCATTCTTGGACTCTGTGATTATTAGCTCTCCTAATAAGATGTGTCAAAAGACTGTGGTCTAAGTAGTGAGGAAAAAATTCCCAAAGCAGTCTGGGAATTTTTGGGAATAAACAACATGAAGGTCAACATGCAGTTCTGTTCACCATTGCATGCTAATGCAGTACCCCAAGGTTCAATCCGGGGGCCGCCTTATTTAATGTTTATATGCTCAAACAATGTTCAGGTTATAACACTTGATAAGATAGTTACCATAAATATGATACACATTACAATATCACCATTTTACCACAAACCCAATCAATTTTTGTGTAGATGAACAGAACAAATAAACGCATTGATGTGCTTCAGCTTTTCTTCTTCTGAACATAAACGTCAGCAATTTTATTACTTTCCTTTAAAATCTACAAAAGAAAATTTGTTGGAATGTTAATTACCTTCCGTTAAGGGACATATTGCATTCATAAATAGGTTTAATGCTGACTGTGCAGTTTCCTTCTTTGACCATGGTGACCATTTTTAAACACATAATATTTGTATTAATATTCTGATGTAGTATTAGCTCGCTGAGTATGAATGGAATAAAAAGTGGCGATTGTCACATTAATTCTGACAAGTGCTGGGGTTTTACATAGCAACATGACCTGTGTGAAGGCAGGCAAGGAGTGATGGCAGCAAACTAGACAAGCATGTATGAAAGTTCCACTAGCTCAGTGGGAAGCTGTGTGTCTGAGTGTCCAAGCAGACTGGGATGTTTTCTCTGCTGTCAAAGCCCTGATGCACGTGTTCATCTCAGACCTGCAGAAACCAAGTAACACACTGGGTTGTGTCGAACAAAGCTTACACAACGTAAACAAAAAATCTAATCACCTCATCCATCTGAGGTCATCTTTGAGCGGGAAACAGGAAACACAAGTCGAATTGAGGATTTTTGGAACTGTAATGTCCTTACAAAGCTGCTCATTAAAGCAGGACAACCACAGGCACTGAATAAATATGTGCCAACATATTCACAGTGTGTTTCAACAGGCAGAAATGAATAATAATCTGCAATTTCCATGCTATGTGCTAACATAGAAAATGTCAACCTGATATTGGCATGTGACTGAAACTGTTGAGCAGAAGATAACAGAACAGATTGTAATCCCAGACATTCACACACAAAGAAAAACATGTGAACATACACACACACACACACACATCCCAAAGGAATCTGTGGTAGTGTGATTAGAACTGCATCTTTTCAAGCAATCTGGAGCAAGCAGCAGGATGCTGGCAAATAATATCAGCTCTGAATAATGCTTGCTCATTTTGTCAAAGCTCTGTTCATTTATTTCTGGATTTTGTTTCTGTTTGTTAGAGTTTGATGCTGCGCTACTGTAAATGTGTTCACCAGAAAGGCTATTTATTCTAACTCTGGAGATTTAGCACCAGATTAACGGAGAAAAGACCTGAGGTTGGCATATCATAACTGAATTTTAAACAATTGTGAACTTGTAAACGATATGTAATGGTCAGCAGTTATACTTTGAAGACAGTGTTATTCAAAACATTTTATACCTTTGTTTCCATTAACCACATACTTTTCACTATAATTTAGAAACCTCCCAAGAATTATGTCAGTAATTTTTAAAATGTGCCTTTATAGAACACTGAAGCTTCTTTTGTCATAATTTTTTAAAGTTGAATTACAAGGCTATTTATATTTGTGGCATGAATGCCAGGACTTTGAGAGGCAACATGCACAGCTGTCTGAGAAATGACTTAATACTAATCAATGTCATACTTTTTTTTTAAATTAATCTCATACTAAACAAAATAGAAAAAAAAGAACATGTCTGTAATGACAAATATACACTCATGCCAACCATTTAAACATAAAAAAAACCTGTTTAAATGGCTGCCATTGCAGGGGAGTCTAATCTTTTTAACTTTGGTTCTCAAAACTGTAAAATGAAACAAGTTTATTGTTAAAATTCCTATAAATACTTAATATTTTTTACCAATGGAGGTTGGTAAAACCTCCATTGGTATACATTGTTCACCTGCACAATGTATGCTGGGCTGATGACATGGTTAGGTTTGTTCTGTACTGGAATCTACCGAGAAAACAGCAAAACTTTACATGAGTTGTTGTTTATCGTATTGCGTTTGATTGGTGTCCATTTAGACTGTCACTATTGGCTATAATTTAAAAAGACAAAGTGTCTCTGGATCACTTCCCACATAAAAAAAGAGCACAGTGGGAAAGAGCTGAACACAACTTCCGACATTTTTGGCTTAAACATTTATTTCTAGAAGATTTTGAGTCGCCCGTACAAGCAAAACCGATGGAGGATCTGACAGGTGGTTGTTACTCTCTCCAGGTAAAAGCAAGTACTGTCCCAGCAGTTTTTAATCCACAAAACGCCTAAACCTCGCTGCCGGCTAGCAAATGAAAGATGCTGGGAGAAACATCAGAGACAAGCAGCTCTAGAAGCTCTTTTAAACGCTAGTGGAGCTTTTGCTACAGCTGACCACATACCCGACACCGAACCAAAGACCAGAACCAAAACAGATGTTCCCGGACTGCAGACTGAAACGGAAACTGAGCTACCTACAGAACTACTTATCGAATCTCACAGTCCGACCAGAAGTACCAGTCATTCATTGTTTCATTTATGAAGCTGAAGGTGGCAGCAGTGAACATCAGCTTCTTCGTCCAGCTCTTTCCTCTTCCTCCATTTACTCCTACTGATTTCTACATTCCCCTCAATTTCAGTGCGCTCTGGTTCCAATTAGGGCAGGGTTAGGGTCAGGGTTAGGCAAACTCATTGCTGTGTTGGCTTGCACAATCGAGCCAAGCATACGTCAAATACCCAGAATGCATTGCAGCATAAACAACGGCATTGACGTGACCATGTTTTATTAAAATTTATAAAAACCCAACAGTCTGCAGTATCATCACTGTATTGTTTTTGTATCTAAAATAAATATTTGTCAAACAAAATCCTTGGTTGAAACTAATTGTGGATCCCTTTACATTTTTAATTGATCACAGGGTGATCCACCAGAGAGCCCAATGCATGAACCTACATATACCACTGACATTTAGAATACACATTATGCAGAGAGCCGCTTGCTGCTAAGAAGTCCCAAAGAAGATGATTGAGCAAGTGTCTCCCTGGTGCCGCCAGAACCGCATCCCGCATCCCGCAGTCTCGCTGACACTCACCAACACGTGCACGGCAGCTCGCGCGCTCGGGGCTCTACGGCAGCAGCTACAGCAGCGGCAGCAGCAGCAAGGTTGTCCCGCACAACACGAGCAAACGGCGCCCGGCTCGGGACAGACCCCGCATCCTCTCACTGCAGCATGGCAACAGAGGTAAGGGATTTCCTGCTGCTTCTGTCAGTGTTCCCCCACAGACTCCATTGCTACCCATTCTTATTTTTATCCGGGCAAGTGCAGGTGGGGGGACGCGCTGCTGCAAACTGAATCAGATGCGTGTGTGTCCCGAATGTGGTGAACACCTGATTGAATATTCGACTGATTCTGGAGCACAGGAGAGACTCGTTTGATTATTTAGTTGTTCTTGTTATTAGGCCCGAGCAGCTAAGCGCTGCGAAGGCCTATTGTTTTCCTACTGTTTCTTATTCTTATTATTCTTCCACCCAAATAAATTGGCTTTTTGAGGGCTTTATCATATTCAAAAACTCACCAAACTTGGCGGACGCATAAAGGGAGTTTCAAAATTTTGTATTTTAAGGTCATTGCAATAATCGCACAAGAAACGGCTCAAGAGCGCCACCTTGAAATTTTCAAAGGACCCTTTGCTATTCACTTACTTTATCCTAGAGACATGAAATTTGGTACACTTGTAGAGCTCCCCAAGACGCTCAAAATTTACAATTAATGTCATAGTGCAAGTATCACAGGAAGTCGGCCATTTTGGATAGAAGTTCGGATTTTGAGCCCATTTTTGCCGTTTACAGCCTTCATATTTGATCTATCTCCTCCTAGGTATTTGATTGATCGGCTTCAAACTCGGTCAGTCTGTTCATAAGGCATGTCCCATCTAAAGTTATCTAAACGGTGAGTTTTTGAGTATGCTGAAGGGGGGTTAGCAGGGGTCAAAGTTCACCTACTCGCCGTAAAAAAATAAACTGCTATATCTCCTACACAGAAACTCACAGAGGCACCAAAATTACTGTTGTTGATCATCATCGGGTCTACTACAATACCCTATGGTCGAATGATGACATCACTTAGGCCACGCCCTGAGAACAGGAAGTGTAATGTTTTACTGTGAAGGGTCGCTATCTGACCCCTTTGACCTCATCAACATGAAACTGTGCCAAGACACAGAAAACATGTTGGTGTATTGAGGATTCCAACCCCGACCAGCTTCGATGGAGCAGGTGGGCGTGGCGGCGTGGCGAAGTGACCTGTAACGCCATCGCCATACGTTTGGCTCTAAATTCCACATTTTCAGGCCCAGCTGCTGCAAACTCACAAGGATGGATCTTCATCCACTCCCCAACAGGAATCCATCACAATATTTGGTGGGCGTAGCCTAATTTTTCTATAGCGCCCCCTAGAAAACTTTAAATGATCAGCCCCAAGCCATGCTTTAACCTACAAATACGAAACTTTGTACACATATGTACCTTGTCAGGACATACAAAAAAGTCTCTTGGAGCCATGGTCTAAACCCCACAGGAAGTCGGCCATTTTGGATTCAAGTTCGGTTTTTTACTCCATTTTTGCCGTTTACAGCCTTCATATTTGATCTATCTCCTCCTAGGGATTTCGATTGATCGGCTTCAAACTCGGTCAGTCTGTTCATAAGGCATGTCTCATCTAAAGTTATCTAAACGGTGAGTTTTTGAGTATGCTGAAGGGGGGTTAATAGGGGTCAAAGTTCACCTACTCGCCATAAAAACATAAACTGCTATATCTCCTACACAGAAACTCACAGAGGCACCAAAGTTTCTGTGATTGATCATCATCGGGTCTCCTACATTATCCTATGGTCGAATGATGACATCACTTAGGCCACGCCCCTGAGAACAGGAAGTGTAATGTTTTACTGTGAAAGGTCGCTATCTGACCCCTTTGACCTCATCAACATGAAACTGTGCCCAGACACAGAAAACATGTTGGTGTATTGAGGATTCCAACCCCGACTAGATTCGATGGAGCAGATGGGCGTGGCGGCGTGGCGAAGTGACCTGTAACGCCATCGCCATACGTTTGGCTCTAAATTCCACATTTTCAGGCCCAGCTGCTGCAAACTCACAAGGATGGATCTTCATCCACTCCCCAACAGGAATCCATCACAATATTTGGTCGGCGTGGCCTAATTTTTCTATAGCGCCCCCTAGAAAACTTTAAATGATCAGCCCCAAGCCATGCTTTAACCTACAAATACGAAACTTTGTACACATATGTACCTTGTCAGGACATACAAAAAAGTCTCTTGGAGCCATGGTCTAAACCCCACAGGAAGTCGGCCATTTTGGATTCAAGTTCGGTTTTTTACTCCATTTTTGCCGTTTACAGCCTTCATATTTGATCTATCTCCTCCTAGGGATTTCGATTGATCGGCTTCAAACTCGGTCAGTCTGTTCATAAGGCATGTCCCATCTAAAGTAATCTAAACGGTGAGTTTTTGAGTATGCTTAAGGGGGGTTAGCAGGGGTCAAAGTTCACCTACTCGCCGTAAAAAAATAAACTGCTATATCTCCTACACAGAAACTCACACAGGTACCAAAATTACTGTTGTTGATCATCATCGGGTCTACTACAATACCCTATGGTCGAATGATGACATCACTTAGGCCACGCCCCCTGAGAACAGGAAGTGTCATGTTTTACTGTCAAAGGTCGCTATCTGACCCCTTTGACCTCATCAACATGAAACTGTGCCAAGACACAGAAAACATGTTGGTGTATTGAGGATTCCAACCCCGACCAGCTTCGATGGAGCAGGTGGGCGTGGCAGCGTGGCGAAGTGACCTCTAACGCCATCGCCATACGTTTGGCTCTCAATTTTATTTTTAAAGTTTTATTTTTTTAAATAATTTTGTGGGTTAGAGTACAAACATTCATTAATTTTGGCTAGAAATAATACACAAACATCGTCATTCAGCAAAACGTTTATTCACTACACAAATGACAGCTCCGCTGAGTAAAATGGGGTCAGGTTGATGGAGTACCACTGCCCCCTGGTTGCGCAATAATGGTACTGCTGGCGCAATACCAGTATTGCGCCAGCAGGAGGCAGTGGTACTCCATCAATGAGAAAACAGATCTACGGCGAACGGCCGTCAAAACGTTTCGAGCGCGTTTGCCTTGAGATTTCCAAAAGGATAGCGGTTACATTTAACCTGAAATGTTATATGTAAGCCCTCAGATAATATTTGTTGGCTTAAAACACGGAGTAAATGTAGCGTTTTGTTAATAGCTGTTATTTAATACCCCAAGTAAATGCATCAATTCCAGCCGTCTGTGCCTTACTGGTCAGTTAAGTGTAACTGTCGTGGAGCTGCTACGTCATAGCAGTCGGCCGGCGACAGCTGGAGCTGCGAAGTTTTCCTGTACATTTTGCCTGCTTTTAGGAGCCACAGAACTGGACTACGCTCAACATTTTGCTTGTGTTTTGGAGTTGGAAATCCGAACCACGCTTTTGAGCAAGAAGGCTCTGTTTGACCGGAGTTGGAGCAGTTTTAATGCGCTCTTTGCGCCTGAGCTTCCGCGTTCCGGAAATACGGCTCAAATGTTTTTCCAAGGTAACAATTAATAATGTACATCGATCCGAAGCCCACACAAGTAAGCCGGAGAAAAGTTTTAAGATGTTTGCCTCGTTATACATTCACAGATATGAAGGTGAGTTTTATTTTCTCTAAACTGCTAGCACAAGCCAGCTAGCTTGTGCTAGCAGGGATTATTCTCTGACATTTTTCTTGTAAAAATCTGTTATTTAATTATCTAAAGATTTCTCAGCCATTCTAACGGACACTGTTTGTGCCTTATTTTCAAGCATATTACGTGTGTTTATTGTTAACGACAATAAAGCAGCGGGGAGATGAGGGTAGGGGGGGGGCAGATTACAGTTCAGAGTTTTTGCTTGAATTATGACGAAGAAAATCGAGCCCAGAGCTTACTCTGGTATCGGAGTTCTAGTTCAGCTGACTGTTCAGATTGAGAGTTATTACTTTTAGAAAAATATGGCCGTGTTGATTAAGATTTCTGTGTTATTTCATTTGATTACTTTTGCATGCTTGTTGTGAAGGGCTCATTAAGACGGTGTTTAGAGCGGTGTGTACGGCGTTAGCTTCAAGTGGTAGCTTTAACTTGTAGCAACAAATATTTACAAGCTGTCTTGATTGAGGATCGCTTGGAAATTCATGAAAACTTAAACAAAGTACATAGTATTGTTTTATTTGTGTCTTAAGTACGACTTTGTCTTTTATAGCAGTCATAGTTTCTGAAAGTGGAAAAAAGAGCCGCATTCGGGTATACAGTTGTGACGTCAGCGCGGCAGGTGCAAAGAGCCCATTGCTGTTCGTTTAAACAGTCGTAACTCGCGGTGCGGTGAGTAATTTATTCCTTCCTGCTGGTTCTGGAAGCCGTCATGTTTGGAACAGTTATTCTGAGGAGGATGCTAACCCAATGCCTGAGGCCTGCAACGTTTTTAATGCTAACGAAGCGCTTTACTAATTCAATAAACTGAATAGTGTGTTTGATACATCCAGTTTCATACATTGAGAGTTGTTTGTTATTATGTATAGAAGATGTTTAAAATGTCGTTTCAAAGAGCTCTGAGAAAATGCTAAGTATCTTTTTACCGATCCATTGGGGTTGTAATATTTAGTTGCAGCACTTCCTGTGATTAATACCTAATTAATGGGTGGGATTCAGCCTGTGCTATTGTTCTAAAGTGCTGAAAGTTAACTGTGCTCTGTTATTGTGCATTGCCCTTGGTTTATTACTGAACAGTGCGGTTTATTAAACTGATACATCTTAACCTTCACCATTTTCCTGACTCATTTCACAATAACGTCAAAGTTGCACTGCATTTAGATCTCAGTTGTAGTTAACATCAAGCATGTGGGTGTGGCTTAGTGTAAAACTTTCACTATTTACCATGAAACATCAACATTAAATGACTTCCAAATGCAAGATCACAGCTGCATCACACTTCCTGTCTTTCTAGAGAACAGCCCTGAACACATTTCCATGGTCACTTGATGACCTCACTGTAGCCCCGCCCACTTTTAAGAGGCAGTCACATGTTTTTTCTGCTGTATATTTTACTGTTATTCTATCATTTATATGGGTTTCATCATGTGAATACTGACTAAAAATGATAACATGATGAACTCTATGAATGCTGGCTGCTGACCGAACCGCATTGGGGTGTAGAAATGACGAAATGTATTACTTCGCCATGTGCATACGATCGGCTCTAAATGACACGTGGATCATCCGACAGGCACCAAATTGAATACGTATGACCTTTGTTGACCTCTAAAGAGCAAAACAGCATTGAAATGTATTTTGACTCCACTGTGCCCCCTACATTAATCCGCCAGCTATATTTCCTCGCTAAAACAATGAATCTGCACCACATTTTTTGCATCGTCAAGGAGCGCCGCCGAACGCGTCGATGCGTACCGCCTGGTGGACGGGCGCGGAAACTGCGCAACAACAAGCGTTGATGGAAACTGAGCAACAGCTTCCGCGGTGCGGGCGGAGGCGCTGAAAACTGCGTGAGAGCTTCTGTGGTGGCTGGCGTGAGGCGGCGGTTGCTAGTACCCCAAGGAGGCCAATAGGCCGGAGCGGCGCTTGGCTGCGAGGGCCGCTCGAGGCTGCTTGCAGCTTTAATTTTATTTATATTCTCTCCCTAGTATCTAGTAACATTTTGAAATTTGCTCGCATTTTACGTTTCTTTTTTCTTTTTTACTATAACTCAGATGCAAATATTTATTGAGTAGTTATTTATGGAGACTGTTGGTTCAGAATGTGATTGCACTGTTTATGAAAATGACTATTATGATCATATTCAGCATCAGGGACATACAAATCCTCGTCTCACCTTCATCTGCATCATGTTTTCACTCATCTTCACAAGGCGTAATAAATATTTTTAGATAAAGTGAATCCTTTTGACACAGTTCAGAGTCTAGCAAAACAGATAGATTTCTACCCTGAACACTTTTTGGATTCATCTTCTTTCATTGTGGTTTTTGTATGACTTGAAAATCCAATTCAAGATAAACAACAATGTCCTTGTTCATGCTGTGACTAATAGCACAACTAGTTGCCTCATTCAGGAGTTGCGGGTTTATTTTTAGATCCAGTAATGCCTGGTAGCTCCTGGGCCAGCAGCACATCTTCCTCCCCTCTCCGTGCCCTTGGTAATGTCACCATAATGCTGAAGACATTGCTGGCTGAGTTATCATGGTGATGATCTCACAAGAGGATGCAGCTATTACTTTGCATGGTTGGGAAAGCACTCTCATCCAGGCACTGATGTGGGTTAATTTATGCAAGCATGTCCAGTACATGTGGATATGGGAGATGTATGTGTAACAGAATTGCCCCAATTTATCGATCAGTAAAAACAGTAAATTAAGCACACTAAAAATAAAGCTAAAGTTGAGAAGAAACCATGGGACATTTTTTTTCTTAGGTTTCATCTACTTTATTGTCTGGTGTTCTTTTGCAAATCCCATCATTTTCTTAGAAACACATGTGCGTCCATGCTAATACACAATTATTTTTTAGTCCATGATCTTTCATTAATCCAGAGTATAAATAATTTGATTTGACTGATGCAGTTTGAAACCATAAATACCAAACTCTGAGAATCCTTCCATTATGTTTACTGCATGAAAAGTCGACAATCATTGGATAACATTATTGAATAGCAGTTGGCTTGCTCTGCAAATGTATCGCCTAATATCATTACATTCAGATTCTGATCCCAGTCGGTAGCTTCGCTTTGGCTTGGGACCTGGTCTGTTTGGAAATAATGAGCCAAAGAGTAGACTGGCAGAAAGGTCCCAGCTATTCCACCTTTTCTAAAATAAACAAAAACGAGGTTTCTTCCTCTGGCTTTGGTCTCACAGTTGTTAATGTATCATTTCAATCTTTTTTGAAAGTTCATAGACCCTAGGGTGAACAGGAAGCCACTTACAGAGTTAAGAAAGGATAAAAAAGAGAGCACTCACTTTGAAAAAAAATGCTGAGAGATAAAAATGACATGTCTAATGTTGAATGCATTTACTCTGCATGCCCTTATTGTTTGAGTAAGTGTGTCGTCTGCCTACTGGCAGCACTCACCCATATTGCAGCTGTGTGCTCATTGAATCAAAATGACTAAACTAGGGAACATGTCATGTTAGTGAGAACTACACAAAGCTAGAATGCAAGAATAAGGAGGAGATGTCATTAGAGTGGAAAAAAGCGACAAAGAAAATGTTACCTCTTCATTCTGATCAGTTCTCTGCCAGAGGCTTTCGCTTTTCCTTTTGCGTGTCATTTTTTGAAGCTTTCCCAGAGTCTTTTCTGATGACAGCTTTGTCCTATTGTAAAATGCAGTTTTAATGGCTTGCCCTGTACTTCTACAAAATGTCAACACATTTGATGTGAATTTATTTTTTATTTTTATTTGTTGTTAATTACATAACTTGCCTCCATAATGCCAAAGGAAAGGAAATGATTCTAATTTCTGTGGCAAATAGGAAGACATTTGTAGAAACTTTTAGGGGTTGCACAATTAAATGCCTGGCACTTAGGTTGAAGTGGACTTCTTTCACAATTCCCTTCAGTGAATTGACTGGTAGGTCATTTTGTCACTTCAACCTCCATGCAAAAAGACCCTCAGGCTGGGAAGTTTTTTAAGCTCCTCATTCTTTTTCACTCACTCCAGCGTTCTTGTTAGCCACAGTTATGATTCTGGCCATCTTTGCCTTTGTTAGGTTAGTTCCCTTTGGTTATTTTTTTTTATTAAAAAACCCTTGCATATCTCCCAAAAAAATCTGTACACCTGGGTTTTTTGAAAACCTAATAATGAAATTGTATTTCTTGAGGTATTTCTTGCAGTAGCATTCTTCTGTTCCCAGTCTCTACTTTTATGTTTTCTAAAGTTTAAACCCTATAAGAAGGTTATTTATTTCAACAACTGAAATTGAAAATTTCTACTCACGAGACATCAAAAATAGTTTTTGATGTTTTTTTGTTATGCAATATCTTCATTTTCAGAGAAAAGTTTTTATTAACTGTATGTCATAATTGCCAAAATAAAGAGCATGTGATGTTATTTGGGTGAATTTATGAATTTCTCATTTTTAAGTCACTTGCTGAAATAAGTAAATTTTTAGTGATACTCCACTTTGTTTGGCTGTGCCAGTACCTTTTAAATGTCTAAATCAGGGGTCTTCAAATCCAGGCCTTGAATAATCTCTGGAGAACATGACCACATACTGAGGAGGTACCGTAATTCCTTCATTTACTTCAGGTATGTTGGACCAGAGGCACATCTAAAAGTTTCAGGACCCTGGCTTTTGGGGTGTGGCTTTCAGGATCTCTGATCTAAATATTAAATTCCTACTTTCGGACACGTTTGGAAAACATCCTGCTGGTAGAAGAACTTAATACTCACTGTTACTGTTTTTTCTCATTAGTGTTTAGTAACAATTAAATCAGTTCTAGTCATCTTTTGATGTTTTGGTGATTTATATTTAAACAGTACAGTATTTCCCATTCTGGCACTGCAAAGCACAGAACCAATGTAAACATAATGAGGTTGACGTTGGGCCAGCTGATGCTGATTTGAATAAACAAAGCTGCGGCGTGTCTTCATGATTACATCTATTAATAGAACGACTGATGTATCATCATGGCCCAAAGATAGACACTATGTTAGAGAGGCAGAGAAAGCAAAGAAACAGATATTAAAATCTCTGGCTGTGAGATGATTGTGGTTGTTAGTGGATGAAAATAGAAGCTTAGACTCTATTTCTGGTTGAGATTGATGTTGGCCTTTTCTGTAAAGAGATGAAAGACTGGCTCTGTGCTGTGTCTGCTTACATGGTCTCACTACCTTCCAATAATAACAGACTGCGGTGGCCACCAAAGCTCTGCAAAAGAGGCATGGATTAAAAGTTGGCTCGTTAATTCTGGCAAATACACAAATATTTTGCATTCCTGAAGAATATTATATATACAGTATATATAACCTGAAGGACATCGTGTTGCTGTATCTTTTTATACTTTCTTTTTGTTTCTTACTGACTCCTTCCTGTTTTCTTGCATACCTTTTCTGTGTTACAAATTGCCAACCTCTTGGGAGAAGTAATTTAGATCAGCATGAGACAAGTTTACTGTGCCTGTTTTGATGTAAAACATAGCAGTTACTAGCAAAGTGCTGCAAAGAGCAGAATCTCTGGGTGCTGTAATTGAAACTGGGTCTGTCATTGCAAGCCTGCACTGCTGTTAAAACATGATATTTTCACATTTGGGCCATTACCATTAGGTAATTAAAAGCTGCCAAGAAGATTTCTCATCACTTTATTGGCATTTATAATGAAAATCTGTAGAATTGACTTGTCAGAAAATACAGATGAACAACCAAAATAATAATAAAAAAATATATGTATGTGTGTGGGTGTGTGTGGGTGTTCCAGTGAAGTTGTTAGTATCCAGCATTTTTTGTGTTTCTGGGTTGTTCCTGGACATTTTAAGCAAGTCCCTTTCATCTGAGAGTGACAGTTTGGGTCGGAGTGTGTAAACTTGGACTCTGTTGGTTGTTCCAGCTGGATGCTAACACTAAACACATCAAAAGCAGTTAAACATAAGCACATTAATAATCATGAATGGCCTCCTCAATGTCTTTAACACTATTGAGTTTGTTGACTATGCATAAAACCAAGAAACAAAGTTTTTTAAATGAAGTCAATTATGCTAAGTAGAATGGTCACATATCCCTCTAGAATATGCCTGGTGACCGAAAAGAATGCAGTCAGGATTCAAGCTGCCACCACTAACATTCCCACAAATATTGATTGGGGTGTATTTGAGTCCGCATGTCTTAGGTTTTACCCGGTGAGGAGTTGGAAACACTTCAAAATAAACTCAAGTATGTCTAGTTTTTGTTTTTAAGAATCACTTAGGTATGTGTTTCTTTAATCACTCCCTGCTGGAAAAAGAACAGTTAAGAATGTATCAGTAAAAACCCCTAAACTATTATGACATTCATGTCTATGATGAGCTATTTAACTAGAACTGTTTGCGAATTCGATTGGACTTAAATCTAAAGAAACACTTCCTTTTTCTTCCCCACTGCTGTGTGTCTTCTAAGTTTCATAACCTCCAGGACATGCAGCACACTGCGTCGCTGGTCACAAAGGTTTTCATACAACGAGACTACAGCGAAGGAACAGTGTGCCGATTTCAGACCAAGTTCCCCACAGAGCTCGACAACAGGGTGAGAACTACAACAAAGCACTGTGAAACAACTGCAACATGTTGCAGCTTAAAATTAAGTCATTTTAATGTAATAAGCAAATATGCCTATTGAACTAATCTGCTTTTCTGCCCATGCTTTTTCACTTCAGATTAGACAAGCTCTAAGAGTGTGAAAATTCTTATCAAAAAATTTAATTTTGGCTTGAGTGAAATGCAGCAGGCATGTTTAACATGCTTCTCAATAGGTGCATAACTTGTTTATGTTGTTGTGGGAGAGCTAAATATACTTGTGCTCCCAGTCTGCCATATCTATACCACTCATTACTTTCTCTCCTTGTTTGTGTTTATTAGATAGAGAGAGCTCTGCTTGAGCAGACAGTAAAGACCCTGAACTCTTATTATGTGGAGGCTGAGAAAGTTGGCGGTCAGTCATACCTGGAAGGATGCCTGGCTTGTGCAACAGCATACATCGTCTTCCTCTGCATGGAAACACGCTATGAGAAGGTAAGAAGTCTAAAATGTCCCCACCTGAAGACTTGAGATATTCCTGTGAAAAGACAAAAGATTTAAACTTCTTTCTTATCTGTAAAGTGTGTATTATTAACAATCTTAAAATCTTAAAACCTACATGCACGGCAAGAGACTGACGTCAATAAATGAAATGTTTTCAGAAATGGTGTCAGACCCGACATTTATTAAGTGTTGGACACCAATAGAGGTCCTGTGTCTGTACCCTGGTAGCTTGAAGCAGTTGTGAAAAATGGGAAGAGTGTTTTAACAACACTAAGATAATGCTGTAGATGTTTAAAAAAAATTGAGAATTGTGGTACAGTAATATGAACATATCTAAGCTTTGACCCGCTGTCTTCAAATTGTAAAGGTGATAGTAATCAGCAGTCTGATGTACCATGCTCAATTTTAGAAGGTTAAAGATAAAACTTTTAGAATCAGCACATATTGAATTTGTTTAGTATTAAACTCATAAGTCATATGAAAATTCTGGTTGGTTTAGCAATTTAGAAGTTAATGTTTAAAACCAGACAGAAAGGCATTTGGTTTTGTTTTGGCTGCTTTCTAAAACCCAGCAGTTTTTAAAACTCGCTCCTGTGGGAAACAGGCAGAATGCAGGAGATAAAATCAGGTCTTTAAAATCTTCCACTACTTCTTACATCCTGTTCTGAAAGGCACACATGAGTGGCACCGGGTAAAGCATGGCACGCCATCTGTAAAACAGTTTTACTTAGCACAGGCAAGATGCCCAACTTCAGAAAGCACAGGTGGCTCAACCTGTTCATGACTGTGTTGCCGCTTGTTAGTCGCTGAGATGGAACAGGAGCACATACGCATGCATACTGCAATCGCACACACAAGCACAGTGAGCTTGATTAATCCTCTTTGTCGTTTTCTGTGAACTTGCCAATGCATCAGATGAGATTGGAGTGGCGTGAAGTTCCAGCATGTCTTTCTGTTCTGATCTCTGTCTCACACAACATTCATCGCCCTCATCTTGTAGCATTTTGTAAACATTGCGTTATCAAAGCTGCGCCAGGTACTGGGAGATTGACCAAGGCCCACAAAGCAGGTTTATTGCTACGTTGAAGCCATGCAGAAATGGCCTGGTCTGACTCACCTTTCATCTTCCTGTCAGGTGGAACCGCTCCATTGAGAGGCTCAGATGTTATCGGCTCCAGAGAGTTGTTTATTTACCTGTTTAAACTTTATGAATACCTCTATGACTGACGATGATAAAATATACCCACCCAGGTTGAAGCTGAGTGTCCAATCTTCGTAGCGGACTTTCAGAAGGCACTGATTGTTCCCTGCACGTCGGAACAAGCACCCAAAACTCCCTCACACAGACCTTTCATTGTACATCTCCTATTTCTTTTCTTCTTTGCTGACAAGAACGTGGCTCAAAATGCAGCAGTAGATTTACTATGATGCAAGTTCAGAGTTTGTACAAAAAACACAAAGACGTTTCTACATGCAACTTAAAAGAGGAGCACTACTACTGTATAGTGTGTGTATAGTCTTCCCAGAGCAGCTGACACAATCATGCCAGTATAGCAGTGACACAGTTAGAATAAGGATACTTGAATGTCAAATTTTGAAAGTAAAAAGGGTTGAGCTTTTCCCAGGGTTTACTAGATGTATGATTGGCTTTTTCCTTTGGACACATTAAAGGAGTTTTTGTCATTATTTATTTATTTGCAGACGTAAATATTTTATGCCTTTGTTTTTTTCCCAGTTTGTAATGTTTATTTTCCACTATTTAGTTAAATCCATAATGTGTGTGAGTGTGCGTGAACCGGTGAGTGACTGCTGCTTTGCGGTTCTCTGGACTTGATAAGGCGCTATACAAGTACAAAGTCATTTACCATTTAAACTTTAAATTAAAGAAATCTTTATTTTACCAACATGTTTCTTCTGACTGGAGGCAAAACCAACAATTTGGATCAGCACAGCTCGAAACCTGATTTCAATTTTGATGAGATTTTGTAGAGTGGACTAAATATTAGGCCGATGACAACCAGAGAGAAAGCAACCTGCTTTGAGCTCATTCCAGAAAAGTAGCTGATTTTTAAATATGATGTCTCCAAACCAATCGAAGGTGGAAAAATATTTTCAGATTGTAAGGCAGGATAAAATGCAGTGCACCCGTGCATAAAACAGATTACCTGTCAGGAGCGCTAAAAGTCATTTCCCATTGATTATGCATGACAAGATGACATAATTGTGTTTTCTGTGTTGTGTTTGTCTTTTAACTCCAAACTCAATAATGATTCGCGTTCCCCATATCAAAAGAGCACTGCTCACCTTTTCAAGTCAAGTGGAGTCCCAGATCTGCTCATTAAAACCTGTAAACAGTTGAATGTTTAGAAAAGTGGTATTCTAAAAACAGATTTGCTGACTTTGTTATCCTTATAGCAGTGATCCTAATAAACACAAGGCTGAGCTGAATGAAGTGCATCTGAGTGACATAATTAGACTGTATTTTAGAGTTGCATGGCATGTCTGCGTTGCTGGGACCCACACAGGCATGTTTGATGTACTTCTGAGGAGCTGTTCTAATCAAGCCTTTAGTTTATATCTGTTAATTTAGCATGACTGTTCAATTCTTTGGAGCAACTTATCAGCAACAAAGATAGACTACAAAGGTTATTTGCAACTGTTTTTGCTTTTTTTGTGTGTGTACAGACATGCTAGTTTAAATTTGTATGTCGAGGCACAGCCTGAAGTGCACAGTTTCCTCCCCACTGCTATGTGGTTATTGCTCAGCTGCTGCAAATCTAAAGGGTGGGTTCATTGCCAATACAATGTAAATAAACTAGCCACTTTACTTTTTAGAAAGTTTGTCCTGATGGTTAGCCAAGGCATAACATTTGGCCTGAGAGAGTCATCTGTTCCATTTGGAGCCATGGCTTCAAAATGGAAATTTTCAGAAAGAGAAAGGAGCTCCTCGGTTTTAGCAATTCAATTTACAGTCATGCTTAGCATGAGTGTTTAGGAATATGCTAAAAAAAATACTGATAAACTATAATAGAATTATTTTAAGTTTGTATTATAATTCTCTGGAATAAATATGAACTAATTTGCTACAAGATGAACTAATTTCTTCCGTTTTTATATTTTCCACTTGAGACAAAACATATCAGGAGACTAAATGGCTAAATCCAATTTTATGGTTAATCTCTCGTCTATCCATGACCATTACATGTTACATAAAGTACCCATTAAAAAGTAATATGCAGGTATTAGCCCCCAGTTAGTGTAGTTAGATTGTCTTTGTAGAACTGCATTACCTGCTTTTGCATTCAAAGAACTTTGGATGTTTCTAACGTAATCTGGATTAAAACCAGATGTGTCAGTCCTCCTCTAAAACCTCTTCAACCACCTTTTATTTCAGGTTTTGAAGAAGATATCAGGCTACATCCAGGAGCAGAATGAGAAGATCTACGCTCCGAGAGGTCTGCTGCTCACAGACCCCATAGAGAGAGGAATGAGGGTTGTATCCTTTATCCAGCTGCTGCTACACTTTCTGAGAACAATAAACAAAAATGTATAATGGTCTAGGTCATAGACTGGCAATTGGAGAGACTGGCTCTTACCAAAACAGTTGCTAGTGATGGATATAAGAAAAGCATAATTTGTACAATTTGAATAAATCTTTTAAGTCAACATTATACCAGTTTAACATCTCCTTGTTACCAGGAATAAATCGAATACATGGCAGCTTTGAAGAGGTTTGCTGAAAGAAAATTCTGAAAGCAGAAAATAACCAAAAGCCAAGATCTAACAAAAGGAGCAGGCAGACGTCATGGAAAGTCTTGTTTTTTTCAAATTAGCCAAGAATTTTTACTGTTCTATACAGTTTTCTAGATGTCTTTGTGGTTCATGGCACTGCTGGGTTTTTTTTTATTGTCTTCCTGACTGACCCCAGAACAGGCAACAGGAGAAAGAAAAATGTGCCGAGCAGACCATCACACTAGCTTGACGTAGAATAACTTTCTGAAAAATGAGACTAAAAGTCAAAGAGCAACGTTTTACCAATGTAGCTGGTGCTGACCTAAAACTACAAATAAATGTTGAAGACCATTTTACAGTAAGCGAATCCCGTAAGGTTTAATTTACCCATCAATTCTTCTTAATCATAAGGGAATCCCAGCCCTCCCTTGCCACAGTGACATGCTGAAGCTTATTCTTAGGGATCCAGACATCTTCACAGAGCAGAAAGAAGATATTACAGTGGGAAGCATCCTGCTTTCATTAGGATCACATGCTCCAACAACCTCAACTGCCTCTTTTCCTTGCAGAGCAGCATTGGCTTTACTTTAATCTTTCTTTGGATGGCTGAACTACAAACCCGATCTATGCTGTTCACTGGCTGTAGGCAACACGCATTTCCAGTTGGGTCAGTGATCAGTTCATGCTACCCGATTGTCTCCAGATCAGAGTAAAAAAATTAAAACATGTTTGTTCAACTGCGATCTAGGTCGGTTTGTTCCCCTCACACTGGAATCCACGTTTGCGAACTCCAGTCCTCACCTCCTCTCACAATGGCAGATTTTTGTGCCAAACTTCCCTGATGACTAACCTCCCATATGATTTTGTTTGGCAGGGTTTCTCTGTCTGGTAAAGTAGGAACCTCACAGGTAAAGCACCACTGCTATTGTGCAGAAAGCTTTGACATGGCAATATCCATAGCTGTCATTGGGGATTCCAGAATGATATTGCTTTAGGACATCCCTTTTCGTGCTCCTCTTTTGTGCGTTCTTCTTCATCTGTATGATCCTTGACGCTCCTGGTGTCCCCAGCTGGAGATCAGCGTGTTTGAGGACCGGGGCTCAAGTGGCTCTAGTCCCAGCAGCATGTCATCGTGCAGCACTGCTCGGTGACTGGAGGAGCAGCACCAGGCTTACGGGTACCACCACAGAGGCAGCGGGACCCTCACCAACATCCGCATGTTGAAACATGAGAGCACCAGGTTCTAAAGACAAACAGAAAGACGGAAAATCCAAGGAGGTGATCCACAACTTTCACACACTCTTCCTGTTGAGACCTTCGACTAACCACCATTGGAGAAGGATCTGGCTTGTATAAAAGCTGTGGCTACTTAAAATAATCAACCTAAGTAAAACAAAACCCACATAACAGCTTGTGACAAAAAGCAAAATCCAGTGTCTAAGAAGATAAAACCTTTACTTTTGAAAAGAAGTGAATCATTTTTGTTCCTTTTCATCATGTCTGTTTTATGTCCTAACTTTGTCTGCAGGCTGACATGAGTTTAGGCCTGTTATCAGTGCATGACTAGTGTCATTTCACTGTCATTGTTATTCTGTGCTCATTTATAGTCAGGATACTCAAAAGTCTGTGCAGCAGCACCAGCATCTAAAATGAGGATAAGTTACTGAGCCCCAGGAGACACAGTGTTCTTGCATTTGTTTCAGGTAGTTGATGTCAAGTCACTTTGAATGGTGGCAAATGGGGCTTACCAAAGCCTCAGGCTTTGTTCAGAGGTATTTGGCATGAATGTCAAACTAAGAACAGTGTGATTTATTTATCTTTCTTATTCATCAGAGTAGATTAAGTGATCTGCATCACAGCTGCAGGCCATATATGCAGACATATTCACATACCATGCCCTAACATTAGACGTACAGTATATGTAGTGAAGGGGACATGTGTGCACATGTAGTATATACAATGAGACACATACGTGTGCAGCATGTGCTTATGCTTTCCTGTCCACACAGAGATTATTCTAGAGTTTTGATATGACAAAGCCAGGAAATATGATTTCAGCTTTCTGGGAACATATTCAGAGGTTTGGACTTTTTTTTTTTCGCTTTCTCTCTGGATAATAGTTTTGATGTCTGGCAGTGTTTATGATTTTGAATTCACTTGCAGTCTAGTGTGAGATGAAAGCGTGCAGATCTTAACACTGTCAAAAACCCTTTTCCCTAAACATACTTACTGGCTTCCTAAGAAAGCTGAAAGAGAGTGGGCCGTTATCAGGGAAGCTGGAGACTCTGCACTCATTAAGCCGAGAAATATGTTTCTGTTTGAGAGCTGGAGCTCGCAGGAGAATCGGCCCACACAGAGTTAAAGAACTAAACCTTATTTAGCCTGTGTTCACGGCTGCTATGTAGATGCAGATTGTGTTAATAATTCAAACACAACAGAAAGGCAAAATGTAAAAAGTCTTGGAATGCACTGCATCCAACTGGCGCACTCAGAGAAGTAGAAATGTGGAAAAAGAAAGTTCTGCCTCTCATATGGAAAACCATCAATCATGGCTGTATAGCATCATTAAGTGTGGCCATAATGTTGCAAATATTTTCATATTGACAGAGTATCAACATAATCATTTTGTTTGTCTATGTTTATCATGTTGTGGTGTTTTTAGTGTTACTTCAGAAGCTGATGCTGTTTTATTTTGTTACTGAATGTTCAGCAGTAAACTGACCACTGCAGATCTGTGTTTTAATTTATTTCTGTGAATAGGTTTACATCTTTCAGCCCTTGGATAACTGATCTGAACCAGCGAGACATTTATACCACAAGAGTTTAGATGTGCTTGGATTTAGCCTCCTGTGCTTTGATTTTTGATGCCTTCATGTTTCATACTGGTGGAATGGATATCCAACCTGGTGCTGATGGACTGACCAATTTAAAAGTGACTTAACACTGCCAAAAGGCACATAAAGGAGCTTATTGGACAATGTATATTAAAATGAGTATAAACAATCTGTGCAGGTATGACATTGTAGCTTTGATTCTACACATTTGTGAATAGAAGATAATGAATATGTAATACAATAATCCCATTTCACTAGATGTTAGTAATTTGTTTCGTATGTTCATGAAGAAAAGGAGCAGTTAAATGCTGGATTGTTGTCATTTGTTAGTTTTTATTGATTTATCTATAAATCTATTGAGTTTTGATACTGTAACTAATAAAGTTGACAGTACAAACAAGTTGGTGACAATGATTCTCAGGGAAACCTTTTAACAGGCCAAATTTTAAAGGTCTTTAACGAGTGTAGCAACATGGTGATGGCCATGTTACTCAGCTGGTTGCACAAGCTACAATGGAGTCTCTGAATGCAACTCCTCAGCCTATGATTAATGTTTGCATAGACCTAATGTTGAACAATTCATTTTATTTAGATGTTTAGAAACAGGGTTTCATCTTAAAGTAGCATGTCAGTGGTAGATTAGAGTTGGAGAATCATAAGTCTGACCAAAAACAATCTTATCTACTGATAGATTGTCATATATATTGTCATATATATTGATCCAAAGAGCCTATATATATATATATATATATATATATATATATATATATATATATATATATATATATATATATATATATATATATATATATATATATGTTAGTTTACTGATGTACAAAGTATGTTAGTCTACTGATGTACAAAAATCTTCCAGAAAAGGTACTGTTTACAATTGGTCTGAAAGTCATTTTTCTTTTACATATTTAATAATATCCCTGTTCACAGTACAGAGACAAAGAAGTGACAAAGTCACTTTTGTATAATCAGTCTTAAATGTGCAAATCAGACAGCCAATCATAAAATGTGATTTCTAAAAAAATGTGATTGGGATTAACTTAAAATGCAAAAAAAGATCTATTCTGTTCTATTCTGCAAGTGCTGAACAATGGTAGGTAGCTCATTTAATAATGTTACCTATGGGTACTTTACTTAACTTGTACTGCATTTATGAGTGACACACCTTCATTAGGTTGTACACAATCAGTAATAAGAACATATCAAACGCTTGATGTTCTGTAAGAAAAGAAATATTGAGCAGTAACTATGATGTGTTCCTGAAAATATCTAATATGATGTGTGCAGTATTGGTGCTGAGTTGTTTTGCCTCTGGGGAGACTCATTGTTCTGCACTGATGTTTTATGCTGCATGGTGTTTAAACATGTTTACAAAGGTCAAGACAAACAAAATCCCTCTTAAAAAAGTATTGCAAGATGCTGCCAAATGTCCTATATTAATGTTGTTGGTGTGCTAATATTTGGTTACTAGTAAGTTCATTAAAATAATGTTATGTAGATTTTATAAAAGTTGATTAGACATCCTATCCAGAGATAAGATGTAACTGTCTATAAAGTGTTTGATGAAGCCAGTGAAAACAGGATTGATTGTTGTCAGTATCAAAATAAAATTAATTTTGCTTTAAAGATTGATTCAATTTTTGACTCTTGTTAGTTTTATAAACTGAATGCTGTAAAAATTGCAATTGTCCTAAGCCCAAAGGCAACAAGGATGCAAACTTTAGGTTTGGTGGTAAATGTTTGAGATTTTTTTCCTTTTTAAATTTTCTCAGGGAAAAATTTAATTTCCCCAATTTAATGACAATATAAGTAAAATTTTTTGATCTAATTTTCTTTTTATCAGGTTGGAAACTATGTGCTGTTTTTTTGTTTTTAGATAATTTTTCACAAATATCATCATTCTATTAAGCCAAATGCATGATTTTTTTTATTGTCTAAATTTTTATTATTTAAAAACCTACAATTAGCAATAAAATGTTTGAAAAACAAAGTTATAATTTTTCTATAGACAATGTTGCTAAAAACAAATTATATCTTGCCTTTTTTGAAAAAGTCATCCAATATTTACCTTTGAACAAGTTTTGCTTAGCTGAACTGAGGTCAAAAATGAGGCTCTTTGGATCATAAAGGTCACAAGTCCCTCTCTTAGACAGTACCAAAGTTTCCATGTTGTCAACATTTGTTGCTCTCTGGCTGGACAACACTGTTCCTTTCTGCTCTGCTTTCCTGTCCTTTTATTGCTTGTTTTCTCAACAGAAAGGAAGTCGTCTACTTAACCTTCACAGTTGTTTGGTTTTTGAGTCATGGAGAAGAAGTCACTTCTTGCTCTTGCATTAATGGACTTAAATGCTTATTCTTTCTGAAGACAGAAAACCCATATACCGCCCGAGATTCTGCTTTCCAGAAATAATGGAGCATGCAGCAATCTGGAAAATATATGTGTGCACTTGCATGTAAAACAGAGTGTTTTGGTAAAAGATCTTTTCATTACAGAAAGCTCTTTGTCTCCACCGGGTGTTCTGCCAGTGACATGTGTTGACAACTTCATTTAGAAATAAATGTTAATGTATTTAGTTTACCATGGCAAAGCCCTAGGATAACATTTATCCAGTAAGAGGCAGTTATGATTCTTTTGAGAAAGCGGAAAGCTTTGTAAGCTGCTTTCAGGAAGCAACATAAATTTGACAATTTTCACATTGAGTCAATTTAGAACTACAAAGTTTAATGTACTTTACAGAAATCTAATGTAACAGATCAGTGTAAAGTAGCAAATAATGGTGAAGTTAAAAAAAACAAGGTTTTTTTTATATTGTTTTTTGGTTTACAAAAAAAAACCCTAATTGTGTATTTTTATAAATCCAGTGCAAACAACAGAAAGGATGCAACAAGCTCCACAGTCTAAAGAAAAGTCTTAAATATGTATGTTTTGAACACTTTTCTGTAAATACAGCAACAGTGACTTGCTTTTAGCCTGGGCAGAGACAAAATATACAAAGGCAACACCAGTCAGCCATCTGCTAAACTGCTTTTTTGTGTTAGCTGTGGCACATTTTGAATGACCTCTGTGTGATTGACAGTTGTTGTGGTTGCTGCTGGATCTTCCAGATATTCGGCCTGTCTAAATCACACTGACTCATGCTGAGAGATTATAGTGGGGTCAATCTTCTCAGATCTACTGTATGAACTACAGGACAATCAATTGTTGCAATAGTCATTCAAATAGACAGTTTTGTAAATGGATCAATGAGTTGATTTAGCAGAGGCTGATAAAAGGTTGACAGAGGGAGATATGACTGATTTGGAGATTGTCTGTTTTATTTAGTTAATACCAAATTCAGGACCAGAAGAAGTGATGAGAAAACATTCACAAATGGAGGAATTCACCTCATCAGCATTATCCAGTAAAGAGCCTTTCAGGGGTCATATAGAAGAAAGAACAAATACATAACACATGCAATACTTAAAAGAAAAGCAAAACTAGACATAGTTTCTTATTGTGTTTATTTTACATCAGGCCACTTTTTAATGGAAAAATGACTCAAATAAGACACAAGTTGAATTTAAATGTGGTTATGCTTGTTTTCCTCCTCACATAAAACTTTTAATGTTTGCTCTTAATTTTTCAACAACAAGCACATCCTACCACAGAAACTAAGATCCGATCAACAACCCAATGAATTTTGACCACAAGCTTTGGTAAGTTTACGTCTTGATTTTATTAATGGACACTTCTGTTTGGATCGAACATCAATCAAATCAATCAATCAAAAACGTCAATATCTTTCTCAGATTACAACGCATGTGACATGCAGCGGTTTTCGCATCTTTCTTTGATTTCCTGAATGTAAAGGTGAAACGAGTCAAAAAACGCAGATTCCTGAATACATTGTTAAAATATACCTCTGTTAAATATGCTGCTAAAAGTCAACTTTAGAAAACCTCAGGATGTCTCAAGGGAGGGAGGTGAAAATTTTAAATTAAAAATAAACAGAGCCAAAAACAAGAAACTGCAAACTTAGGATACTTCAAGCACCCTTCCAGGTCTCTATCACAAATAAAGCATTGTTAGTTTGACTTTAGCCTCATGCTTTTTTTTTTTTTTTTTTTTTTTCAGAAGAATGTGGTATTTTTATTGAAAGAAAAAGGAAAGTCTGTTCCGTTTATACTATGGATGAACCCGTTCTAACCAGAATACACATAAAAGCTATTTTCTTCCACATTTTCAAATACATGACTATGTTACAATTCCTAACAAGAAAAAAAAAGACAGCACTGTATCTCTAGCCCATTTACTTCCTATCTCATAAATTGGTAAAAGGAAAGAAGGCAGTGGAAAGTGTTGTTAGAAACAAGGTTTCAATGTTGAAACTCATCCAATTAGGTCATTTTGTAACATTAGTCTGCATTAACAAAGCAAAACAAAGTAGAACTCTGATGCTGGTGATGGGCAACTTCCAGGGTTAGAACATGGGGTTGGCTCAAAGGACAGACTTTGGTTTGTTGTTCTTGGCCTTCCAAGAACCCGACAAAACCTCTAAGATAAAGAGCAGCTTCCAACGTAAATGACATAGCTCATTCCAAGCTAATGAAAACAAGATGTTACTCTCTTTATGAAAAAAAATATATATATCATAAATTTTACATCTCCAAAATCCCATTTAATAAAGCAAATGTGAAATCTCGCATAGTAAAATGTGGCATGTGTGAAATACATGTACATTGGTTTACATGGGGTGCGCATGTACAATGTGCACCGCAGTTGTTATTCTGCTGGCTGAGCAAGAAAGAAGGAAATAAACCCCAAACTCAGAAAAATTGGGCTCCCCAGAAAGAAAGGCTTCATTTACCTGTAATCTGTCAACCGACACGTGATTCTTAAAAAACTTGTTTAAATCTGGGGAGTAGAACTTGTTCAGTGATGTTGCTTTGTGTGATTTTGAATTTATACAATCAGATTAGCAGAATCTGAGTGCTGGATTTCAAATCTGGAACATTTGTTCACATATTGTTTGACAAAAAGTTGAACATTTATGCCAGGTAAAATTTGTTCTCATTTGCACATTTGGCTATAATCAGTTGTATCTGTACGTCTGTTATGTACAGGTTTAGATCTTCATTTTAAAGAAATAATGGTCTGAAGTTCTCTTCAGACCACCACAGATTCTTAAAACTGTGGTGTTTTAAGAATCTTGCTGTAAATGGAAGAAAAAATATAAGTTACATTTGTGTATCTTTTCTCAAACAACACGAGCCAAAAATAAAGAGTTATGACCTTCCTCAAAGATGCGTTCCATGTGATGCCATTCATGCTTACGAGGTAACGGAAAGCATTTTATCAGTCATATCAGTGACTTATTCCTGTATTCTGACACACTTAAATTACTCTGATAAGCTTAAATCGAATTACATTCTCTGGCAGCAAGAAGCAAGGAAGAAAAGATGTATTTGATCTAAGGTTGTGGTAACCCTGACTGAACCCTCGGGCCAGCATTAGCATAGTTTGTGCAAAGAACTGCAAAGATGGCTTGACTTACTTTTATCAGGGGTAAAAAGATGCATATAACAGATGCAGCTGAGGGGAAATGACAACTGCAGATCACACTCCAACACTGTTTGGACAGTGTTTTCTTGGCACTCTTTCTTTCTCCTATTTTCCACTTAGAAAGGTTTTCTCGTCATTTCCATTCCCATCAGATCCCGCATCATT